AAGTTACTTCAAACGCAGTAAAGGTAATACAAGATCGACTCAGAACTGCACAAAGCCGATAGAAAAGTTATGCTGATTAACGTAGGAGACCTTTGGAATTTAAAGTAGGGAGATCACGTATTTTTGAAAGTATTGCCAATGAAAGGCATATCAAGATTCGGAAAGAAAGGGAAATTGAGCCCGAGATCCATTGAACCATTTGAGATTCTCGAAATGATAGGGGATTTGGCATATTGATTGGCTTTGCCACCAAAGTTGGCTAACATCCATGACGTCTTTTTCATGTGTCGATGTTAAGGAAATATCAGCCTGACCCTATAAATGTTTTGGACAGCAAAACTATTGAAGTAGATGAGAAAGTAAAGTATATTGAGTTGCCAGTGCGGATATTGGATCGAAGTAAACGAGTTCTCAAGAATAAGGTTATTCTTCTCGTCTAGGTATTATGGCAATATCACGATATAGAAGATGCAACTTGGGAAAGCGAGGACAACATGAGGAGCCGTTATCTGCATCTATTTGAAGGGGCAGGTAAATCCTAAATTTAGAGGATGAAATTTTTTTAAAGGGGGAAGTGTTGTGACATCCTAAAATCCGTAGGACCGATTAGTGATGTTACACGAATTGAAATTAGTGATGACCAAGGTTTGAGTATGCAATTGTCGAAACACTTATGAAATTTCGGTAAATACACACTTGGTATATTTGTGATCCAAAAATTTTCGAAATTCATTGGACAATTGAGGAGGCTTATTTTCGGCTATATATGTGCACGATGTACTTGTATAGTGATTATTTAAGATGATTAGGGATAATGGTCATTAATGTATATCTTATGTGGATATTAGGTGCACTTAAATTACATAATATAGAACACAAATTGTACCCCTAATACCCCACGTGCAGCCGGCCATCTAGCCCTAATTTTTACATGTAAAATTAGAGAAATTAAAGCCAATTAATCATGAATGGCCGCCCATGTCCACCAATGAAGCTTCATGCACAATGACAAAGCTTCTAAGACACTCTTCTAATTCCATCATGAGAAGCCATCATGAAAGTCTCTCTCTCTCTCTCTCTCTCTCTCTCTCTCTCTCTCTCTCTCTCTCTCTCTCTCTCTCTCTCTCTCTCTCTCTCTCTCTCTCTCTCTCTCTCTCTCTCTCTCTCTCTCTCTCTCTCTCTCTCTCTCTCTCTCTCTCTCTCTCATTTTTCTCACCTCACCACCAACACACAACTCATTTTCCTCTCCATTTCCTTCTCTAGCCATGAGTCCCCAGACACCACAAACTCAATATCTTCCACTTTGCTACAAGGAAACCGCCGGCCAACTCACCAAGGACGCACGTAGAACTCACGAGCACACCAAGGCAAGGAGATAAGGCTTGTTTCTAAGCCAATTGATCTTCCTAGGCCCTTGATTTTTCTTGTATGGTGCTGTGGGTTGATGTTTTGGGCTTGCATGTGAGATCTTTGATGTTATATGGGCGTGCATGTGGGTGACCAGACCTGGAATGTGTGTGCATGTGTGTTTCGTGAGCTGTAGAGTGGATGCATGTGTCTTTTAGCCATTGATGGCTTTGCATGTAAGTTTTAAGCACTCATATTGACTTTCATGTGAGAAAGATGGGTTTAGATTGTTGAATGAAGGTGCGAATGGTTGTTGCATGTTTGTTTATACCTCTAGATTTGAGTTTAATGGGATAAAATTTCGCGGGTATTATTTCATATGAAAAGTGTGCTGAATGAAATGAGTTACGTGGTCTATGAATGTCATGTCATTGCACCAAGGCCAGCAAACCTTGGAAGTCTGGCCAGCAAACCGGAAGTGAATGGCTTGGCTAAAAACCAATATGCCCCGGAGGTGTAGGGATGCCCCCGTGCTGTGTGTTGGGATGCCCATGTGCTGTGTGCTTGGGATGTCTCGGAGTGAGATGCCTATGGCCAATAAGTCATGAAAGTTCGGACAGTAAATCGGAAGTGACCCGCACGAACTAGCCAGCAAATCGATTGAGCCAGCAAATCGATTGAACCGTGAGATGGGAGTGAACCCTATGAAATCGATGAGAAATGAAACGTGTGATATCTATGATGCATGCTAGTATGGTACATGTGATTACGGATGTTACTTTCGGATGGTGTGCGTTCATTACAGGGTACATTAATCATTTCATATTAGATGTGTCTAGGAATTGAGAGTTAGTATGATCGGTCGGTTTATAAGCTAGTTTTATCTCTTGTTGAGCATTAGCTCACTCCTGTTATTTTTATAGATTTTAGACATGCCTCCGATCCCTTGCATCGCCCATCGCCTGTTGCGGTGCTCCCGTTGACTTTGGGGGGGAGCTGTAATAGTTTACTGACCCTGCGTTCCCTTCAGTTATATTCGTTTGTTATACTGCGACACTCGGTCGACATAGGAGCCCCGAGAGGTCATGTCCCATATGGTTTTGTTTCGATTTTTGTGCTAGTAGATGGTCGACTGGTGGGACCTATTCCTTACTTAGATAGTGGCAGCTCGGACGACGGTAGTGACGGAGAGGAATAGTTGTTAGGGACAACGTAGGCTGTTGGGGGAGCCATTTCAAAGTTTTCATAGTTGCTTCTTTTTAGTTTAAACTGTGATGACTGGTGTTGATGTTGGTGACGGTTGCATAGTGTCATCTGGTGTGAGATGGGGAGCTATATATTTTTTTGATCCTCCCAGTAGTAGTTTTTGGTTGGTGTCACTCGTGTATGTAAATAAGATAATGAAATGGAAGTAAGATATCCCCGTTCAGCTACATTGAATGTGTTTGCTTATACATAATTCATGTTATAAATGCTTAAGTTAAACAGTATCTTCCGCTTGCGCAATTACATAAAAGAGAATAAAGAATCGCGCTAGTAAGTAGCATACTGGGACGCCACAACAAATGTAACCCAATTTGCACCATCATTCGATATCGTATCAAGGCCAATCATACCTCATTGGAAAGCCAAATGGATGTGGGTTCTATCTCCAATAAACACAGAATTGTGGTTCAATCATTTTCAAGTAATAAATCGTGAGTTTTATCAAAGGGGTAAAATGGAACAGTTTTGAACAATAATGAGAATCAAGACCAATAACATAGTAAATGACTTCGAGAAATTATGAAATTTAAATATGTCATAGAAAAGACCTTGAATGACATTTTTCATGAAAGCATAAAATCCAGATCATTTTGTATACACGGAAAAGAGTCACTCAAAGTCAGACCAAAACTGGTTCGCTGGAACAGAATAAATGAACCACAAAAAAGGCCCATTCCACTACTCAAAAGATATCAAAACACTTTGAAATTTTTATATGTAATAGAAATGGAAGTCCTTTGAAACTTTTGTGAAGGAAGTATGTCTAAATTCGAACTGAAAAATTTTATAAAAAATCAAGAAGACACAAAGGGCATTGATTTTACTGTACTGAACCGGTAAAATACGATAAAGGATAGGGCCTTCGTACAACCCATTTCAACTCAGAAAAATCTTAATTTAAAGGTTATTATAGTATAAGATGTTTTGAACAACTTTCATGGTGTAAGTTTTGCAAGATTCGGACTACAAACAGCTCTATAAAAATGGAAAACAGCAAAGATCCAGCAGTTTTGGTTCTAGAAACCAAAGCCAAAGTTCAAGAAAACAACTCCAAATTGAAATCCACGAATTCTTGTCCAAGAAAACCCAAAACCAGAAGTCCAAACCTATATGCAACATCCATTTCTAGCTTGATTCAGCAACCTAGACCCATAATCATTACATGCAACTTCATCTGGGCACTAGAAACTCACATGCAAGACCATCCGAAGCTTCGAAAGTCGCAACCACATTCAAGGCCAAGAATCACACACACAACAAAGATCAACTCATCCACAGCACACAACAATCAAAAACCATGCGTGTAGGAATCAATGGGAGTATAACCAAGCCATTTCTCCTTGCCTTGATGATTCTAGAACCAAGATCCTTCCTGCTTGAGCTGCTGGCGTGTTCTTGAAGAAGGAAGAACGCAGAAAATGAAGATGAAGAGGGAGAGGGAGGGCTGGCCGAGAGAGTGGAAGAGAGGGGGAGAGGGAGAGAATGAGTGTCTTTGCTTCACAAGTTGGCCTTCTATTGTCTTGCATGTCTTGACAAGTGGCCTTATCCTCTTGACACTTGTCTCATGCCAAGTGACACTCTTCATGCATGCATGAGGGGCAAAAATGGAAGAACGGTAGTGAAATGAGGGGTAGTGATGGTAGTGGTGGTCGGCCGTGCATGGTGTGTAATATGTCCCAATTGTGACATACATCATGTAACTTAGGCTCTTGTAATATCCGGACAAAGTATAGGTTAAATACCATAGTCCCTAAATTTCTTAAATGGCCATTAGAAATATGTTAACTAATTAAATTCGTTCATCGGCACTAATATAATCCTCTGTGGCTTACTAATCAATTTAACGAAAATCAGGATGTCACACAAAGTACTCTACTTGGAAGTTACACTTCTTGACAATGTCATTTTCTAGATGAGCCACAAGACAATTGCCCTGAACTGGGTCGTCAGACATGTTTCCCATCATTTTACGACCAGAACTAACGACTGCTTCAGCTAAACCCAGCATGTTAACTATTTGATTCGCATCTTTATTTAGCTAAACCCGACAACGTTATCAAGGTCTATCCGACGGTTCACTTTTTGCTAGAGATATATTCTCATGCGTTCGCGTTTTAAGACCCTGGAGATAATAGTGTGCTGAGATTATTTAAATAGCAATGTCTTGTTTAGGCCCAGGAATCACTGACCTTACTGGAGTTACGTCGTCTCCAGGAATCGAATCGATCCTGTTGAAAATTAACCTTTAACAGGACGGAGTCTCTTCCGTTGGTCTCTTGCATTTGTCTAAGTAACTGGGTACTGCTTTACCAACTAATTAATAAGAGCAAAAATTTGATTCCAAGCATTCTTGTAGCAATGAATTGCAGCATGATGCCGTCTCGAGATTCAATAGCGGCACAACGTGCACCTGATTTTCATTTCATTACTCACAGAAGTACCGAGTAGCTCTTGTATACTGAAACGGCACAATTAAAGTGAGCCAGTTTTAATGAAAAGGATCTTTGAGTCCGGATATACAAAGCTATGAATGGCAAGGGAATGAAATTGGGAAAGCTGCTGGCCCCCGCTACAAAGCTGAGAGATGTTCAGATGACGAAATGCATTTCGCCTGTACGGCCAATGTCTTCACGGTTCCTCGGCATGGGTCGCGATCAAATTCTGCATTTGCGATCTTGATGGAACAGCTATTTCTTCCTTGACAAGCCTGTGACATTGCAGGTATAAACTATAAGCTATTAGGCAGTTGCAAAATGTACAAGGATAAAAAAAAACTACCATCATGAAGGCCATTCTAGCCAATGGTCACTTCGCTTTGTCGATGATTAAGAGCTCCACATCATTACAATTACAGTAACAACTAATTCAACTAATAATTGCCGTGCTACATAACTGAACCGAATGCAATTTTCTTCCTAATTTACTCCACCTTAAGGAAGCATGCTACCCAATAGGGTAAAACAAGAATTTAGACCTGCACCCATAATTCAATTGTAGGCAGCGATCAAGTTTCACTTTTGTCGAACCACGTTTAATTGACTTAATATGATGAGAAAAATGCATGCTGCAGGAAGCTTCTAAGAGAGATGGTTAACCTTATCCTCAGTTTCACATTCTACTATTTCTTAGTCTGCTGTTTAGAACTCCCAGCCCATCGAACGGAACAAAGGAGAAAAGCCTCCTTTTTAAATCTGAATTCTAAAGAATGAAGTTAAAAAAACCAATTGCCCTTATTCTCTGACCCCCAAAATTGGCAGACAGATATTGAGTTTTATTAAATGACCATTAAACTGGCTAACAGTATCAAAAACTAATCATTCCTTTTGTGAAATTCACCCTAGTTTAAGCTTAGTGTACATTTACCTTTGTTACCGCCTGCAAGGAATTGGGGGCATGGCAGCTGCTCTTGCGAAAGTTCTGGCAGCTGCCTTCAGGTGTTCCATAGCTTGCGAATTCTATGGAGGAAATTACATAACCATCTTCGCATTGCAAATGCATCTCAGGAGTCATATCATTGATTGAGATTCTTCCCCCGACAGAATCAGGAAGGGACCACTTTTGTATAGGAGGATAGTGCGACTCCGACACTTGACCACAGATGATCTCTGAGAAATGTAACTTGATTGATATATCAAATGGATTCCCTCTTGTTTCCTCAAAGATGACAAGTAAATTATCTGACTGCTGGAGCCACGACCGTGGTATGTGATACCTGTAAATGGGAGACAATAAGCTTATCGCAGAGACACAGATTTACCATACCATGAGGTTTGTCCTTTTATGGCTTCTAGCAAGAACCATATGTAAGTGAGAATGATGAAAAGAACACAATAATCCGTCAGTAAAGATTATACGCACTGACACAAAAAGCAATAGGCATGTCGTCAATAGAGGCGTACCGGGTTTGGGTAGGCTTTCCGCAATTTGTGCAGCACTTTTCTGAATTATAGGGTCCGCGATAATCACATATCGGCTGACATCCACCTTTTGGGGCAACTAGAGTCCAGTATCTTCCTATATCATGACCATTTACCCAAGCCTGGCCCTTTCCCATGCTACCCAGATCAATAGCAACAGGATCTGTCCCATCTGGGGAATCAAAGTATGTCTGTTTCAACCAATAAAAGATTTTTGAGTATTGAGGAGTTTTCATTTGTGAGGTTTTATAATGATTACTGTTAGAAGGGTAAAGTGGTCTTTAGGACCTTTAGGTCCTAGGGCTTATTTTTGTATATGTATTGAACATCATTCTATCTATACACTACTGCATTTTCCTTGTATCATGGTATCAGAGCTTGGTACCCGACCCCAACCCCAACCCTAGCCGTCGCCGGAAGAGCTTGCATCCGCCGGCGACCAGCTCGCGCCCAACTCGCGCGGGCAGCGCGCCCAACTCGGGCGAGGCTCCTGCTCGCGCGAGCCTCCAGCCGCGCGACCCAGCTCGCGCGAAGTTCCTGCTCGCGCGACCCAGCTCGAGCTCGCGCGAGCCTCCAGCCGCGCGACCTAGCTCGCGCGAGGTCCCTGTTCATGAGCTGAAGTGAGTGGAGCCTCCTGCTCACGCGACCCAGTTCGCGTGAGGTCCCTGTTCATGAGCTGAAATCAGTGACGTTCCTGCTGGACGCTGCTGATGAACCTTCTTCACCTTCGCCACCTCTAACTTGTGAAGCAAACCTGGCCTTCCTCTTCCCTCTGCTCTATTGGAGGTATTCTTCTGTTCGTGAGCTGAAGTGACTGGAAGTTTCCTCGCCATTGCTGTGAGTGGAGGTGTTGTTGTGGCTCGGTGACTCCCGGCTCTTGCAGCCACGAAATGATGCGGTAAATTTGCTTGATTAGGCCAAATATCAGAAGTTCTAGTGTCTGCATGAATATGTTGAGGTCTGGACAGGTCTGATTTCTTGGTTTTTCAGATCTTAGATTGCGGGTGATTGACTAATTGAGTTATAGTTTATCGATTGGTGGTGTTTGTGGGTCGTGGAGGCTCTTTTATGTGGTGATATATCTTCAATTGTGTTGGATTGTTATCAATTATGTTGGATTGCTGAACTGTTGAGGTTGAGATTGAGGTGCATGAGGGAAAATATTGCGAGAATTCTCTTGTTGTCATTGGAGAATGGGTGATTTTGAGAAGAATAATCCTGTGATGACTGAGGTGATTTCCTCGTTGTCTAATCGAATTACTTATAGGAAGCTTGAGGGTAGTTCTAACTTCCATCAATGGAAGAAAATTGTGAAGCTTACTTTGACCGACAGGAATCAACATAGACACATAACTGAGCCTAAACACAAAGATGATGCAACTTGGGATGTAACTGATGCACGTATCCTTGGTCAAATGTTAAATTCTATGGAAAGTTATATAGTTGATCTTGTAACTCATGTTGACACGGTCAAAGAAATGTGGGAGTATTTGGATGTATTGTATTCAAGCCAAGGCCAACATCTTTATGGACCATCTCACGTGTCCACCGATAACTCAGGGGCCACACGGACTTGTCATTACTGTGGCAAACCTGGCCATATTGAGAAATTTTGTTACAAATTACATGGTAGACCAGGGCAGAAACAACAATTTGCAAATATTGCGTCTGTTACTGATTCTTCTACACGGTCTTCTAAAGGCAAGGTAGTGGTTATGTCTAATGAGGAATTTGCTCGGTACACCCAGCTTCAGATCTCACAGCCTTCTTCTTCCACTGCTACTTTGGTACAGACAGGTAATGCTACTACATGCCCTTCAGCTACTTCTCGTCCTTGGATAATTGATTCAGGGGCTACTGATCACATGTCGGGTCTTTCAAGTGTATTTTCCTCTCTTACTCCATCTTCATCCACAGTTACCATAGCCAATGGATCATTTACACATGTTAAGGGGGTTGGCACAGTTTATCCAACTACTTCATTGCCATTGTCCTCAGTGCTTTATGTGCCACAATTTCCGTTTAACCTCATGTCTGTCAGTAAATTCACTAAAAACTTCCAATGTTCAGTAACATTCTACCCTGATTCCTGTATTTTTCAGGATCTGGCTACGAAGAAGACGATTGGTAGAGGACGTGAGGTAGGGGGGATGTATGTGCTTGAAGACGCTCCTTCCATTGCATGTCCTAGTGTTGCATCCCTACATCAAATTCATTGTCGTCTGGGTCATCCTTCTCTACATAGTCTTCAGAAGTTAGATTCTAGTTTTAGGTCCCTTTCCAGTTTAGAGTGTGAGTCATGCCAGCTTGGCAAATTACATCGTATTAGTTACTCGCCACGAGTCATTAAATGAGCAGCGTCCCCGTTTTCGTTAGTTCATTCAAATATTTGGGGTCCTTGTCATGTGGTTTCCAATCTGGGTTTTAGATACTTTGTTACTTTTGTTGACGATTATTCCAGAATCACTTGGTTATATCTAATGAAAAATCGGCCAGAATTGTTTTCTATATTTCGTGCATTTATTCATGAAATTCATACACAGTTTGGTGTGCATGTTAAGGTTTTGCGTTCTGATAACGCTAAAGAGTACTTTTCTGGCCCATTTTCTGATTTTATGACTCAACATAGTATGATCCATGAATCTTCCTGTCCTGATACACCACAACAGAATGGTGTTGCTGAAAGAAAGAATAGACACTTATTGGATGTTACTAGATCCATGTTGTTTGAAATGAAGGTTCCCAAAACCTTTTGGTGTGATGCTGTTCTGACTGCATGCTATCTCATTAATCGCATGCCCTCTTCTATTTTGCGAGGTGGTATTCCTTTTTCTACTTTATTTCCAAATGTGTCATTGTTTGTCTTACCACCCCGTATTTTTGGTTGTGTCTGTTTTATTCGTGATCATCGACCTGGAGTATCAAAACTTGATCCCAAGGCTATCAAGTGTATGTTTTTGGGTTATTCCCGTACTCAAAAGGGATATCGTTGTTATTCTCCATTACTGAGAAAATACTTTATAACTGCTGATGTTTCATTCTTTGAATCCACTCCTTATCATGATGTTCCAATTTCTGTTTCTGAGTTGGATGAAGACTTCTATGTGACTATGACTACCCTTCGGTCAACTGCTCCAACTACTTCACCAGTCTCTACACAGGAACCACCTCCTCTCCAGGTTTATACTCGACGTCCTCGAGTGGCAACTGCTTCCCCCCTGCCTCCTGCTACTACTACGTCATCTTCTGCTCCAGATTCGCCATTAGCTGCCTCTCCTCTTGTATCTGATCTTGACCTTCCTATTGCTCATCGCAAAGGTACACGTACTTGTACTCAACACTCTATTGCAAATTTCATCTCATATTCTTCTGTGTCTCCTTCCTTTCGGTCCTTTTTATCTACTGTTGAACAATATTCTGTCCCCAAGTCTGTATCTGAGGCATTACAAAATTCTGGCTGGAGGACAGCAATGGAAGAAGAATTAACGGCTCTCGAGGTTAATCAAACTTGGGACTTGGTACCTCTTCCTTCAGGCAAAACTGCTATTGGTTGTCGTTGGGTATTTGCTGTGAAAGTCAATCCTGATGGTTCTCTTGCTCGTTTAAAAGCACGACTTGTTGCAAAAGGGTATGCTCAGGTGTATGGGGTTGACTATCTGGACACATTTTCTCCTGTTGCCAAACTTACTTCTGTTCGTATTTTGATATCCCTTGCTGCCACATATAATTGGCCCTTGTTTCAGCTTGATGTCAAGAATGCTTTCTTGCATGGTACACTTCATGAGGAAGTTTATATGGAGCAACCTCCGGGGTTTGTTGCTCAGGGGGAGTCTGGGGTTATGGTTTGCAAATTAAGAAAGTCTTTATATGGTTTGAAGCAATCCCCACGGGCATGGTTTGGAAGATTTTCTGAGGCTGTACTTTCTTTTGGATTATCTAAATGTGGAAATAATCACTCTTTCTTTTATAAACAGTCGGGGGGAGGCAAACTGTTCTTGATTGTGTATGTTGATGATATTATCATTACGGGAGATGATTTGGCTGGTATAGCTGAACTAAAGATCTATCTTCAGCAACAGTTTCAGACTAAGGACTTAGGAAAGTTGAAGTATTTCCTAGGGATTGAAGTGGCACATTCACATAAAGGTATTGTTCTGTCACAGCGAAAATATGTCCTAGATTTACTCATTGAGACAGGTATGATGGGGTCAAAGCCTCTTGATTCACCCATGGAACGAGGGGTTAAACTGGCCGCTGAGGGAGGAGAAATCCTTGATAACCCTGAGAGATATAGAAGGCTGGTAGGTAAGCTGAATTATCTCACAGTCACTCGACCAGACATTGCCTTTCCAGTTAGTGTTGTAAGCCAGTTTCTGTCTTCCCCTCGTACATCTCATTGGGATGCAGTTATTCGGATATTGAGGTACTTGAAGAAGACTCCAGGGAAAGGAATTGTTTACCGAAACCATGGTTATAGTAAAGTTGAAGGATTCTCTGATGCTGATTGGGCAGGGTCTCCAGATGATAGGAGATCAACTACTGGCTATTGTACCTTGGTTGGAGGAAATCTAGTATCATGGAAGAGTAAGAAACAGAACGTTGATGCCCGCTCTAGTGCTGAGTCAGAATATAGAGCCATGGCACAAGTGACATGTGAATTAGTGTGGATTCAACAGTTGTTGATCGAGTTAGGCTTTAAAGCTTCAGGGCCCATGACTTTATGGTGCGACAATAAAGCTGCAGTGCATATAGCTTCCAACCCTGTATTTCATGAGAGAACAAAACACATTGAGGTTGACTGTCATTTTATTCGGGAAAAGTTCCAGAGTGGAGCGATCCTTCCTAGTCACATTCGAACCGGTGAACAACTTGCAGACATTTTTACTAAACCTTTGGGTAATGGGAGGATAGAATATATTTGTAACAAACTGGGCATGATTAATATCTATGCTCCAGTTTGAGGGGGAGTGTTAGAAGGGTAAAGTGGTCTTTAGGACCTTTAGGTCCTAGGGCTTATTTTTGTATATGAATTGAACATCATTCTATCTATACACTACTGCATTTTCCTTGTATCAATTACAATTATAGAAACAATGAGTCAACTCCTGGTTGCAATCATAAAATAAGGGAATGTTGTATGGCAAAAGATGCCAAACAGTATGGTATTACAGGCAAAAACTATCTGATAGAACCAGAATTCATCATTGATTGTACTCTCTGAGTGGAGGAAAACGAGGAGGAGAGAGAAGGAGAGGGTTGGGGGGGGGGGGGGTGTTGTGGGGGGTGCCACTTATCCAGTTACCTTGTACCAGGAAAATGGGGACGGTATGTCATCCTGAGCCAAATAAGTCCATTCTACCTTCCCATTATCCTCAGTTGTGTATATCTTTAGGAATTCACCCCTAAGCCCAACCTATATGCAACATGAAATGAAATCAAAATCCATACTCTGATTCTTTTACTTTTGCAGAATCAATCACATTCTGATGACAGTGCATTTAATGGCTTGTCAGATAGAGGTAGTAAGATAATAGAAAAAAAAATATTCCAGTATTCATGCTCAGTTGCTAAAGCAGACATATAGTTGATGAGAATATATGATGAAAACTAAAATGTGCCTTCAAGCATGAGACAGTATGAGCCTGCACGTGAACTTGAACTTTGTTCCTAATTGCAAGAGGCATATTATTTTGAAGTGCAAAACAAGCATTCTAGGTTTTATTCTGCTGCCTGAAGCCTGTCTCTACTCACTTAAGCATAAACAATTAAACATCAGCATATGTCTTGAGAAATGAGCCCATTCAAGAAGCTAATCGCCGCATGTTCCATTCAAGAAATTTCAGATCCATTATTCTCAAGGGATATTGGTTTACTAAGCAAGATAGATCAAGATGAGAACCAGGTTCTCCAGCCTCAAAATTCACACGGCAGGCGCCGGTGTTTGGAAAAGGCTAAGAGAAAAAGAAAATCAAGGTGAGTTAATCGCATATAGTCTATATCAATTCACAAAAATGGTCTGACAACATTTAGAAAATACCGAATCATATACTCAGATACAACTGTATGATATGTTGCTGAGACAAGGGTCCACTTAGATCTTTTTATATTGATTCACCAATGGTAAAAACAAGTTTCATACTCATTCAAGAAAGTTCCATGTCTTACCTTTCTTAAAGTTTATAGCTATCTTGATTATAATAACATGATAGCAAATTGTGCATAATGTTATAACCGCATAGATAACAATTGCAAACTTGCAAATGAAGAATGATTATACACTGCCAGTGGGCTAGTACTAAATTTGCTGCAACGAAGGACAGAATTGTTATTGCAAAGAAGAAAAAATAAGAGACGGGGAAACTGTCATAACTATAGCAGTAACCTATCGGAGTAACTTGCCTGGTAGGTCCACAGAGATTTTGCAAGGTCTATATCACCGTCTTTAAATCCAGTAAGCTTTACCTTGCCTCTGAACCCAGCCCCATCTTTCTCAAAAAAGGCACCATAGTTCTGGACCATGAGATAATATAATGACAACGAGAAGAATCGACATGTCCTTTAATAGAACGGTTGCCAGACCATACAAACAAGAGCAACTGGAAAGTATCACTGCCACATATAAATATTCCAGTGAGAAAAGTAGAGCGGCTGGGAAATATTACAAAATACAAAAATAACTACCAGAACTGCCACCCTGAAGAGACCTCAAAATCCAAAGTACCTTCATTTTGACTAATATTAGTTTCCCAGAAAACTAAGAAGATGACATTTTAACTATTTTTTTTTGTTGTCCTCCCATTCTCTTCCCTTATTTATCTTTTCATTCCGGAAACCAATGTCAACATCAAACTGTGTTAAGCCACTGCTTTTTCCCTTGCGTCCAACATCTATGGCACAGCAGGAGATACAAGTGCCCAATTTCACTAATACTATCACTTGGCCCATTACAAGTAGACACAGAATCTCCCCAAGCGAATTCAGTCAAGCAAACTGTGGAAAGCTTAAGTTTCATTTAATTAGTTGAAAATAACCTAATAAATACTGGTAACAAGACTATCACATAGTCGACATTACTTTTTGTAGAAACAATACAACCAATAAAAATGATGCTGCTGTGATCACAAACATGCCAAGGAACAAAAGTTTACCTGTAACCCGACCGTTTGTGATAGCAGAACTAGATCATTATATCCTTGCAAAAGATCAACAGGCTGCACTGCCTTGACCCAATGACCGAAAGTACTGCCTACAATTGAATTAAACATAAACTTGGCTTAGCAGATATACTTTCAACCAGCAGGCAGTACATATGATAAAGACGAGCCAAATCTGCTTACACCACTGAAGGACAATAAAAGACCAACAACTGCAAGAACCCAGAAAATAATTCCAGAAAGCTGCTGCAGTGGAGAGATAGTTTTCATTTAATAATTTATTAGCTGTCTTTTATATCTAGTGCTTCTCTCTAACGGTCCCACATACTACATGTGGGTAACATTCTGCAACTTCTTGATCTAAAGCACCTAAATTAGTACTGCTAGGGTACTTACAAATTTACTATACCTTCATCGAAGAAGTTAGGCCTTTAATAAGTGCAGTAGTCTCACCATTTCCATACAGTATTAGAGCAACAGGTCGTGTGCAGGCTCTCTAGCCTCTCATTTGCCTCCTCACTTAAAATTTCACTCTTCAGTATTAGGGCCAAACCTAATATCCTCAGGTTGTACAGATTTAGTTACTCTGTTCTTACGTGAGTGCACGGTGGTAGCAGTCTGCTTCCTCCCTCAATTTAAAATTCATTGTCGAGTGGGTTTATGTATTTTATTAATAGTATACTGCTCTTTCTAGTGTGTTTCATTCTTACGTTTTTTTTTTCGCCAGTGTGCATTCCATTCTTTTAATAACATACTTGTGCATAGCATGAGAGCACACAGCAAGCAGAGGGAGAGACAGGACAAGAATATACCAAGAAGAGAAAGACAAGAGATCAGATACCTGCCAACTGACCGTTGACAAATACACGGAGGACATCACGGATGCTGTCAATTGTAACCGTTGGCCTGATGTCTTTCTCCTTCCAAAAGGCGATATCATCTTTGGAGACGTATATTCTTGATTGAGGAATATTGAGATGTCAGATAAGCCAATGAATATGATTACAGAATCGGTGAAAAAATAAAAACAATTTATAAATCAAAAATGCAAACTTTTTTGCCAACATCCATGATACCATCAACGAAAAGCTGAATCCAAGCTGAGAAGAGTCTCACGAGGAAAGTACCGAGGGCAGCGCAATCGCACTAGATCTGAGTCAGCCTGATGTTACATTATTTGAACCCAATATAACTTCCGTTGAATGGCTCATATAATACATCAATGTCCAAAATTTGCTACAAACTACAAAATTGGATCAGTCTCGAAGATTTTATCCAAAGTTACAGGCATTTAAGGGATGGACTTAAAGGGCTCATGAGTTGATGTGTATATATACCGTATTTTTAGGGTTTAGGCTCTGATACCATGTAAGTAGAATAATGATGTGTGTTTTATTGATCAGAAAATACGGTATATATACACATCAAAATCCCAAAGACCATTATACCCTTTAACAGTAGCAATGTTTTCTAACCCGGACCTTTCCCGGTTCGACAGTCAACCGGTTCAGCCTATTGAACCGCCAGGTCAATCAAGTTGGATAGCTTACTAGAAAATGTGAAATATATACACATACGCGCACGCACATACTTGTACACCAATATGAGTACCACCTCCAGCGGTTGTGGTGCTCTCGTCTTAATGAGGTCAGAAGGTTGATCCCCACCTACCTCAGCTCTTCATATTTTTGCACCAAGCGAAACACTTGGTCAAAGATCCGGTCAAACCAGTGAGCAGTTCACCGGGTCTAGCGGTTGAACTGCGTCAACTCCGGGGTTGACCAGATCTTGACCAATCTGGGTGAATAGGAAAAACCAGAATGGGCCATAGTCTGTTCCAGGTCCAACCTGCTGAACCAGCCGGTCTAGTCTGGGTTCGAAAACACTGGTTGTAAGAGGTCCCAAATCTCCATCTAAGACAAAGAGGCCCAACAGTTTTTACATAAAACCAGCCAAGTTAACAGTTCCGACCGCCTACTAAAGAGAGCAATCGTGAATCCTGTATTTTCTATTAAATATGGAAAGCTCCAATAATGTGCGCTAAAAGCTGCCTAGTGCGTACTCGATACATGTCTATGAAGCGAAACCAGAAGCTGAACTTGGAACTGGAAATCAGATATTATTTATAAATGAAACCAGTAGATGCTTAAGGACTCCGTCGAAAAATGATGTACCTTCGTACATGCATCATACATCATTAATACAGGGTTGCAAAGAACAATCCCAAACAAACAGCTAGAAGAATGAGCGGTGAATGGTAAACAAAGAAAGCATCTAACCCTCAGTAAATGTTCATCTACAGTGCGAAAACCCACTACTACGTATAATAGGATAATTAATGCAACAAACGACAGAAGAAGTATCAGCTCAGTAATACCTCAAATCAACAGAAAGATGATATAGATACTATTTCAAATAGGCAGACAAATGCTAATATGCATGACAGCTAAAACCGGGAGTAAGACAACACCGTACCTAGTGAAATGCCACAGATAATCAGAAAGATCCTTTGTAACATTTAAGTGCTCTAAAATGCCTTCAACTGTAAAACTGGTGGGGCTCCAAACACCAATTGGCTCTTGAGACCACATCCATGAATTGCCAAAATTAGAAGACCTACTCGGTTTCTTTATTTTCTCCCCAGAAACAATAAAATTAAGGGGCAAGCCATTTGCTGTTGATTTGATGGAAGTTTGTGCTGCAACCTGGTCTAGGCATGAAGACAGGAAGATGTAATCAGATCTAAGGAAGAAATCCTCCAGACTTCTTTTCCCTTTGTAATTATACAACATAAATGGCAGAAAGTACAAGTAGCAGGAATGCAATTTATATGTGACTGGCAGAAAGACAGTAGGGATGCATAGCTGAAAGGAAAAATCTGTGGTATATGGAAGGAGGGAGGGGTGAGGAGAATAACTTGTAGCTCAACTACAACATTTTTATCTCAGAACAAAATCAAAGTAGCCTTATCCGAGAGTATTTTGTCTGCACAAAGTCAAATATTAAAATATAACCATACTCGATTTCATTTACATAAGCATCTCAAAAGAGCTAGAACTTCATTCCTAGTTCTAACAACTTGTTCCACAAAGTTATAGCAATACCTTGGCAGTGTTGAAAACCACATTCCTGCAGTCTGGTAATATACTCACAGACCATGGAGGTAAAATATACGCCTGGCCAAGAAAGTGGACTGTAGCAGATCTATGTTCATCTATATTTGCAAGAAATGCAGAACATGTTCCTTGACCTGTATACCTAGTCAAGTTATGGCCTTCGATGTGATTTTTTCCACGGTACACATGTGCCTGAAAAGAGAAATAAGGAATGTAAGATTTTGTGAGATCACTAACAACTGTTCTAAAAGCTTAAGCTATTAGATGAAGTTGTGGTTGAATATTTAATTATTCTAACATTCCCCCTCACGCTTAGTCTGGTCTTTTTTTTTTCCGCCTAGTACTAAGCATGGAAATATTTCATTAAGGATGCAAATAGGAGCCTGGAAAGATTTGAACTCGGGACCTCCTGCTCTAATTCCATGTAAGATTTTGTGGGACCACTACCAACTGTCGTAAAAGCTTAAGCTATTAGGTGAAGTTGTTGTTTAATATTTAATTATTCTAACAACGAAAAAAAAAGCTTTTAACCAAATAATAAAATAGGCTACTCATGTAGGCTTCTGCTAAAAGATGCACGAAAATGAGGTTTCTGAGAACTGAAGCATTCATGGACAATATTGGAAGTTATGGATCACAATATTTGGCCTGAAGGCCAAGAAAAGCCAGAAGCCATACCAGAAAACCACTTAGAACTTAAGGACAGTAAATAGATTCTTTCAATTCAATTCAAAATATGGCTGAAACACTCTACCATGCAGTGACATAAAGTAGTAAACCCAGCTCAATTATTATTATCCTCAGAAAATGTGCAGAAATTGATTTCTGACTGATGATAAAGTATGACCTAAGTATGACCTAACGAGGAAAACTACAATAATATGGCTAGCCTAGTAGCCATCTTTTGCACGCCACACATCAGAATAAGATTTCGATATGCTCATTCTTTTGAGGAGAACCTACTGAACATGGACTCAAAGAACTTTTAAAATGAAGCATCATCAAGAAGGCACAGAGAAGGACTCTGACAGATAAAGCAGATAACATGGATATCAAGCCATTTACAGAATTTATAAAGTATTTGAATCAAGAATATTGCATAGTCAACATGCTAATCAGTCTTTGCATAGTCCACATGCTAATAAGTCTTCGGCCAGCAAAAGACAGAAAAAAAGAACATGCTCATAAGTCAACCAAGGGTAGACCACAACCTCTTGCCTTGGCCCCAATTTTATATACTGTGCCGCATCAGAAGCAACAAGTGCCGCTTCGCAAAGCTTTATTGCAGCATGCAAATCTTTCAAATGACCCCATTTTGGCTGGCTCAGAAGACCTAAGTGGCAATATAATAATTGTTAGTCTAGAGCATTGGGAAGTAACGTGACTTTAAGATGGTAATGGAGCTCCATACTTGCAGCTCCAAAGTAAAGATGCCTTAGTGCACACGCTTGTGCGTTATATGTATATAGATGCATACTTATTCTCAAAAGCATTTCTGCCTACCATATTCATCAATTGGAGCATCATAGTCATAGCTTGTAACATAGAACGGCCCCCCAGAAGTTCGGCCAAAGTTTGTCCCTCCAAAATACTGCAACCATGAATCACATGCATAAATGCAGCATCAGTCACCAGTGAATGCTCATTATTACCATTTATCTTAGCCAGAATGGTTCTTTCTTTTCAACTTTCAGCAAATCTACTCATATACAGTCTTTATTTTCGAATTTATCTCTTTTCATTGTTGTAAATGCCTAATAGTTCTGTCCAGCCAAATGCCTTCCAGCCACGTGACTTTCCTTTAATTCCCTAACATAGCTACAACCATTTATGAGATCTAGGAATTTGCTGAAAAATATAACAGGGAGGAAAGGAAAAGAAGAACCTTCAGACATAAAGAATATCACCACACACTTAAATCAAGTAAAAGACGAGAAAAAAGGCCAATAGCAGTAATCAACAGACAAAACCTCCTTCTATAAACGTTCTCATCATACCATATAATAGTTTTGAAAGCTTCCACCTCGTTCAAAAAAGCGGGCAACTGCAAAAGCAAGATCTTCGGCAGGTCTATGTGGTAGTCTTCCACCCCACGCTGCATACCTTCATACAAAGTTCCAAGAACACGATTCAGTTAGTAAGGCTCTGTTGCATCAATGAAACTGTTTTCCATTTGGAAAACGATTAGGTCAGAAAATTTCATGAAGAATGATATACAAGGTAACATTTTCCAGTATTTGGTACGTATCTTGGTTTCCAGACACAAGAAAAAATGATGTAAAGTGTAGTGACAGTTGCACAAGAAATCCATCGAAACATGTGAATCAAGTATTAGTATTACTAAGTAATAACTTTAGTTTATTATAAAACGGAATGGTCACAATGGATTTTTTGCTATCAGAATCCTTACCAAACCAAATTCTCGTGTCATGGGAACTTGTCAGTAAAATTTGATTTCAGAACAGAACTCAAAACTCTTTCCAATCAGTACATTAGGAGGATATAATGCCATAATGAATATCCAAGAGAAAACAAACAAGTTATGGTTTAAATAAAAACTTTGCATTTTCTAGCATTTGTTTCCTCGAATATTAGCAAACGAAAGCAAAAACAATTGGAAGAGTCATTTTGGTTCTTTTAAAAGAGTCTTTTATAAAATCTAAATCTTGATAATAATAATAATAATAATAATAGGAAAACGTTTTACATACATGTCATTTTGGTCTTATGAATGAGGAAGCAGAAACAATTAAATGTCATAAACAGCATTTTGATGATGTGTCAGAATCTTCTGGGTCATGCCATCAACACATACCTCAAACAATTTCCACAGTTGCAACAGGGTAGGACCACATTCCAGAGGGTAAAACCTCCACACATCTTCGACATCTCATCAGGAGAAAAAAAAAAGAAAATTTAATAGAACAAGGTTTGCTATTTCCAATTTAAAACCAATCTCTTCCTTTCCTTATACACCTCGGTTACTATTCTTTGCTAGTAATTTTCTTAGACTTTTGGTCCTCAACCCTTTCTATCGTTCTACAGAGTTCCTTCTTCAAATATATAACTTACTCATCACAAAAGAAGAAGTGTCACCACAGAGACAGTAATGTTCAGCCATCAAAATGAATATTTTCTCTGGAATGAAACGTGCCTCGTACTAAAAACAATATATTGTACATGACATGTTCCTGGTAAAGATGCGAAAGAAGACGTGTCTTCTTACCAGCCATCCCAATCTTCTGTCCAAAGTGTTGGTTTGCCATAGGAATTAGGCTTAAATCCATCACAGTAATAACCATTGCAAGCATTTATCTGTTAAAGAAAATTTGAAAAATCATCACAATTACCAAAATTTACAGTAAAAACAAAAAATAATTCACTTACCAAAAGTTTCTTTGCCCAATGCACTCATTGCTATGCAAGATTTCCATCAGAGTTAGTGTGGTGAAAAGGGGGGAATAACTTACAATAGTTTCTGGGGCATCAGCTTGCTGGCACATGACCCATGGAACCCTAGCACCAAGCTCAATAGCCATCCCTGCAGCCCATTTGACATAATTCTTTCCCCTTTGCCCATAGGAGCTTTCAATGTTCCCGTACTCATTCTCAACCTGATAGTTCTTCTCGTTATTATGCATGTAGTAAGACACAATAGGCAACTGGGCAAAGAGCCCAGCAAAGAATATTTTTAATCTTCTAAGTCATGTTTCGGTAATGAGAAGGTCCACTGCCACTAAACTGATTAACTGAATCAAACCATTACAATTGCATAAGACATAATTGAGCATCTTGAAAAATAAATCACAGTTGAATGTCAGATAGAACATTCAGACAGGAACTGACTTTAGACATCTGATTTGGCTATTTATTTTCAATATACATTTAGGATGCATTTGGGTCCCCATAAGAAAGGATATTAGATGTGATTCGCCAGAAATGTGAAGAGGGTGATATTTGTCCAAATAAAATGTCCCATGACTTGGAGAGCATATAAGTACTGACTATCGCATTTTGTAGAATACTACCGTTTTAAAATCTTCTACAAACCTGCAACATGATAATGGGGCCACCTTGCCAAGAGAAGAGCATCTCCTTACGCATTAGATCCACAATCCTTCTCACAAACTGCTCCATCTCGACCTGGAAGTTGTAGAGTTCTATGAATACTTATATATCAAAACATGTCTTAATCTAACAATTTGCACCTGGTAAAACAGTTGGCAGTAGTCGCACAAAATTTTAGATGGTATTAGAGCAAGACGTCTCGAGTCCAAATCTATTCCATAAATACATTCCACGCTTTAGTCTTAGGTTACAGACTTACAGTTCAGCCTATTCATGAGGGGAATATTAGAATACTTAAAAATAAACTATGCATTCATCTAACAGTTTATGCTTTTAAATTAGGGAAAATACCACCAAAAACCCCAAACTATGCCACTTGTGATAAATTTACCCTGAACTTTTTTTTGTGACACGAAAAACCCCAAACTATGCTCGCCGGAGAAGAAAAGAAAAAAAAGGAAAAAAAACAGAAAAAGGAAAAAGACGAAAACGCCCATAGGCCAAAGTATTGTGGGGTAAATGTGTCACAAGTGGCATAATTTGGGGTTTTTTGTGTCACAAAAAAAAGTTCAGGGTAAATTTGTCACAAGTGGTATAGTTTGGGGTTTTTCGTGTCACAAAAAAAAATTCAGGGTAAATTTGTCACAAGTGGCATAGTTTGGGGTTTTTTGTGGTATTTTCCCTTTAAATTACACTAGTCTCAGAAATTTTACAGGACTCAATAAAACTCCAACAGTAAATGCCAAAGAAAGTTATGTCTGCAAAAATCCACCTATCAAAATGTACTTGTGAGGGTGACACATGAGTAAAACTAGTACTCCAAAAATTACACTTTCTTTTTCTTAATAGAAATTATGCCCGCCAACAAAAAGCCAGATAAGACACTTTAGGCCGTGAAAAATTCTCTCACTCACCACTTGACCAAGACACTAGGTATATTTTTATGTGTTGGTGGTTGTTAAAGAAAATAAAAGAGCAGTTGGATCAGCAAAATCTATTAGGCCTACCCATTGCAGGTTTCCCAGCACTTTAGCTTTGACAGCTCATAAACTTTTTAATCCATTCCACGAGAGTTGTTGGAAAGCTTATTACGAGTTCATCATAGTCAAGTCCAATTTTGGATTGTTCAGGGCCACTTTTCTGATCTTAGGCCAGTTGTTCTTTTCTGTTTGAATCTAGATTCCTATTTGCTATTTAATTTCGATATCTTATTAATTTAGGCCCACTTTAGCTAATCTTTACGTTTAAAAACACATAAAAATTAACCCGTTCTGAAGTGGAAAGGGAACCAGCCTTGGACCTGTCGGTTGTAGGACCAGCAGTCCTTCCCTAGTTACAGGTTCCTGAGCTGATCCATCTGACCCATTCTCACCTTTATTTAAGACCCTGCCTAGTGAATGATGCATATAATCAAGACCTTTGGAGAATCTATATAATGTCGGTACCTCATTCTATACTCGACAGAGGAAAAAAGAACTTGTGTGCTCTAAAGAGGTACCCGGAGCAAGCACAGATGCCGAATTTACCTTGAAGAATACATTGTCTGTTCGAAATTCGATGCCAGGGATATCCCGGAGCCAGACTGGGAAGCCTCTGCAAAAATTATAGCCCACAGTTAGTTCACAATTTCGAGGAAGCATTTTCAGTTATATTGACATCAGCCTATTAGAGTCAATGAAGCACTATCTAGAACTCCGTATGCATATGATCTAATAAAGGAAAATTACAGAATGCTCTCTCAACTTGAAAACCTGCATCTTGCACGCTTACAAGATAGATCTTACTTGATGTCTAGAATTTAATACCTTTCATACAACATTTGAAAAGCCATTTTTATAAGAAAATATGATGGTTTGATTATTCGGTTATTCAGATGGATATATTTATGGAGAGTTAGTTAATAGATGGTGTGCCACAAGTGATCAAATGTTGAAAATTTTAGCACTGATTATTTCTCTCGGCAAGACTTACCACACACGCATCTTCTACATGGGGTAGTTTACATTGGGGGAACTCAAATCACAAGAAATATGAAATCTCAAAAACTATAACCTTTTAAACCATGGAAATATGGATAGCCTTATTCCAAAAACAGATGAAAGATAATGACCATATGAGGAAAATTTACGATTGAAGTTATATGTTCTTGCCTTGTGAGAAGGGAACTAAGATTCCTAGCTCTTTAGGAGATTTTGAATATAGTGGAAATTGTGGAATGAATCATGGTGCTCCCATTTTCCCAACATGAGGCACCCATGTGCAATTACTTTTAATTTTCCTAATTAATACAATTTAAGTACTAACAAGATGATTTTCCTTCTAGCTCTCGTGGGTAATTATCGTTTGAAGTGGAGGAGTTGCAGGAAGTGGGTGGTCTTAACTTTTATGGACATGTTTAATTATGACTATGCCCTTATTATTTTGACTTCTTATTAATATATGTAGGGGTAATTGGAGAATGCTCAATAAGCGAGACTATTAGAATAATTAAATATTAAACCACGCCTTCATCTAACAGCTTAAGCTTTTAGAACAGTTGGTAGTGGTCCCACAAAATCTCGCATGGTATCAGAGCTGGAGGTCCTAAGTTCAAATATTTACAGGCCCCATTTGCCTCCCCAATAAAATATGTCCACGCTTAGTAGTAGGCAAAAAAAAAAAAGACCAGACTAAGCGTGAGGGGGAGTGTTAAAATAATTAAATATTAAACTACGCCTTCATCTAACAACTTAAGCTTTTAGAACAGTTGGCAGTGGTCCCACAAAATCTCACAGAGACAAACTCCACTTTTTGCTTAATAATACAGATATGGATAACAAGTTTGAGTAGTAAAGTTTCCAGAAGGTTTTCTGAAATCTCACCAAGAATTCCCGAGTAACATCTATGACAGTCGTTCCTTTCATAAAGTCTTGGTGTCCACCTGACAACTAACATAGTTCGATGTTTCTCTTTAGCCTGTTTATCATTGCAATGCAAAGAGACATGATGTTCATGTAGACTTAGAAGGGGAAATATCAAGGTCGAGCATCAACAACAACAACCCAAGCCTTAGCACACTAGGTGGAGCTGCATATATGAATCCTATTACCCATTGCGCTCGATCCTATATTAGATCCTCCCTTTGCAGTCAAAACTGGAGGAAAAACCAAATAAGGAATGCAGAGCAGCTTCAACCATTGATAAGAGCCATAAATTTCTCATTCGTCCCTTGTCCCCTATTTCTAGTCTAATTTGGTTTAGAAATTTCAGTTTTTCCATTAAGGTGAAACTAAAGAGGGTTCAGGCAGAGGAAGTTATAAACTGTCACTCTATTAGCAGCAAAAATAAATAATAGACAATGGATAGATTGTAAAGTAAAAAGAAGCAAGTAAAATCAATATTCAGTAATCAGAAAGAAGATGAGACCCAAAATTCCACTCAGCACAGACATAAGGGCCTATCCGGAGATGAAGGTACATTCCACTGGATCCCACTAGCTTCACAAACTTGACAATGTCATAACTCCCTTCAAAGTAGTACTGTACAGACAGTTGATAATGGAATGAGTAAATACTTTATCCAAAAAGTTCGATCTCTCTTTCTAAGAAAATCTGCAGTACCTGTCCTCTCACAGGCTCATGCCCGCTCCAAAAGACATAGGTTTGAATTACATCCGCACCACCTTCCTTGCTCTTTGCAATAAGATCGGGCCACATCTGCATGATGCAAACCAATGTGAGGGCACAAACTTATTATTCACATAAAGTTGCAATGGAGCAAGGCTCTCATCAGCATCACACAAGATACTGTAAGAAACAGAGTATGATACTAACAAGGCAACCTAGACAAGAGAGGCACTGTCCACCTAGCTAGACAAACAAATAAGGGGTACATTAAAAACAAATTAATGAAAGGAAATGCACCATCAGTGCAAAACCAGCGGAGGTACACGTTGTCACATTGTGTGCAGAGATTGTGAAATAAACGCAGAGGGAGGTAGTCATGACATGAAGAAAGAAACACGGACTAGTTTGCGCATCTCAAGGCCCTAAATTTTTTAACACCACAGATTTAAATGGGAAAGTCACTTCTCCAGACATTTAATGTTTGTCTCGGACTCTTATACTGCACCCCCTAACAACTTGAGGTTTGTCTCGGACTCTTACTCCGCCCCTATTTTGTCGGTTTATGTCCATTCATTCCCTGCATATAACAAAATAGTTTACCTCAACTCTTACGCGAGAGCAATATGGCAAGAATCCTCACCGTGCATAACCCACTTGCGCTCATTTTAAGAGTCAAATTATCATTTTCACGCTCCGTCTGCTTATCCAGTCATTTCGGTCTCACCAACATTCTCAAGGATAAATTCCAATTAATCGGGCGGAATGACAAGGCAATTGAAACGAAAACGCAGAAACCTCGCAACTCGACAATAGTACTTAAGTGTGTAACGCGCGGTATCACACAGAAGTTTGCTCGACATGAGTTCGAAGCAAAACGATACTTCTTGACTGGTAAAGACCTCATATCGTCTCTTAGCTCGAATTCCGCTAGGAACGAAGCACGCAAGCGATCATCCACGCGCCAAGAAACGCGAAAAAAACAAAAAAAGGAAAAACTCCGAAAGACGAGGCCGAATCGCCTATTACCTCCGGCGTGGCGCGAGGGTAGTGGATTCCGGCGGAGTTGAGCATGCGGCGCTTGCCGTCGATGATCAGCGCCCTGTGGTCGTAGCTCACGTTGAACGGTTCGAAGAAGGCGGAGCTGGCCGCCGCCGCCGCCGCGAAGTGGACGATCGCGAGCAGCAGCAGGAACGGAAGCGGAGAACTTCTTCGTTCCGCCATTGTTCCGCTCTTCGAACCAGAGAGAGAGAGAGAGAGAGAGAGAGGGAGAGCGTCCTTACTCCTAACACCTTCGTAGCTACCGATCAAAACGATCAGCATATCATTGCGTCCGACAGGGACGGGTCACCGGCCGGGTCTTTTTCCCGGGTCGGGTCATTTTGCCCCGTGCAATTTATTTATTGAATTTCCCTGTCATCTGTTTTTGGGAAAATTTCAAATCAGTACCCAAAGTAAAGTCATTTTCTCAAAAAATGGTCATTTTCTCAAAAAAGGGTTCAAAGTAAACATAGTATCAAATAAAGACCTGAAGTGCCTAATCAGTCTTAAATAAAGACCCGAAGTGCCCAATTAATCTCAAGTAAGGGCCTGGGTTCGCGTAGGCGGTCAAATGTTCATCGATCAGCAAGCACATCACTGTTCTGATTGCCGGAACAATGGCAATTTCGTCTTTTACTTTTAAATATTTTTGTTTATTTTTTCTCTTTTTTTCTTTTACTTTTCTTCTTTTTTTTTTCCTCTTTTCGTTCCGCCGGCCATAGCCGGGGCCGACGGGGGTTGCCGGCCTCAGGCAAAGGTCGACCCTCGCCAAATCCAGCGAGGGTTGCTCTTGCCGGATCTGGTGAGGGTCGCCCTTGCCCGCCCAGCCCAAGCGAAGGCTACCCTCGCCTGACACCGACGAGGGCAATACAAGGTGGGGGACTTGGGGAGGGAGGCGGCGGGAGGAAGGGAGGGCTGAGTCAGGAGTGGGCGCTTGTAAGGGGTGGAGGGGCGATCGGGTCATTCTAGAGGAGGCCCAGCGCGAGGGCGACGAACTAGAGGGGGTCGAAGGCAGCAGCAAGGAAGGAGGGGCAAGTGGTGGGGGTGGGGGTGGCCGCCGGAGGAGTGGAAGTGGGAGTGGGAGTGGGAGTGGTGGAGGGAGGAGGAGGGGATGGGGTTGAAATCGGAAGAGACACCAGTGCTTTCTGTTCCATCTGGACTTTTGATTTCTTCTGATGCATCACATCACACACTCGGATTCATTCAAAAACCAAATTCCTTCTTCCTCCTTCGTCCTTTGTCTTCTTCTTCTTCCTTCTTCCTTCGTCGTCTTCTTCGAATGCTTCCTTCTCTCTCTCTCTCTCTCTCTCTCTCTCTCTCTCTCTCTCTCTCTCTCTCTCTCTCTCCGTGTCGATGATTTTCAATCTCTCTTTAGAACTCAAATCGCCATGGATGGATGTTTGGTGTGTGCCCTTGTCGGCATTGGGCGACCCTCGCCCGACCCTGGGTTGCTCGACGCCGGCGAAGGCAGCCTCCGCCCGAGGCCGGCAACCTCCGCTGGCCCCGGTTATGGCTGGCGGAGGGAAAAGAGGTAAAAGAAAAAAAGGAAAAGGAAAGAAAAAAGAAACAAAAAAGTTTAAAAAGTAAAAGACAAAATTACCTTTGTTCCGGTGATCGGAACAGTAACGTGCTTGCCGGCCGGTGAGCATTTGACTGCCCGACGAACCTAGGCCGTTACTTTAGACTAATTGGGCACTTCGGGCCCCTATTTGAAACTGATTAGGCACTTCATGCCCTTATTTAACACTATGTCCACTTTGGACCATTTTTTTAGAAAATGACATCACTTTGGGTACTGATTTGAAATTTCCCTTTGTTTTTACCTATTAGAGGGATAATGATAAAAATCGAAAGCTACCTCATTAGAGAATTTCCTTTTCGAAATTCTCCCTTCTTAGATTTGGGAAACCGTTTGAGTATTTCCAAAAAGAAAACTCATGTGCAGATTAATTAGCAAATTGAAAAAATTTAATCTTGTGATGTAAATGACATTCCAACATTAGATAGGCCACTGAGAGATTTTCTTTCCTCTATTGATAGGAGAGATCAAACCGGATCGAGTTTTATTTGGAGATTAATGGATTAACACTCAGGCTTTGCCCCATTTTCTTACAAAAAAAAAAAGGCTACATGTTATTGGAAATGAAACTTGTGCGTTTATTTCGTCGAAAATGGATGATTTGAAAAATATAATTTTTTGTATCGCCTAAAAAATGAAATGACGAAAAATATTTCATCGTCTTGCCGTCGATAATGAAAACATTTTTCACGGACTAAATAATTTTATGCAATATAAGAGATTATTTTTAGGAAAATTTTCTAAATCGTTTTTTTTCTGTGAAACAAACAGAGCATTATTTATTAATTGAAAGTTTCATATTACTCTCTTAATTAAAAAACATATTTTATAATCTATAATGTAAGTAGCAGTAATCATAAATCTAAACGGACTTTGAATACTTGGTTTTATTGGTCCGCTATTTCACTTTTTTCTTTAAATATTCGCTTAATTTTGTCGCAAATAGAGGGAATGGCGTGTTTTGTTTTCTCCGTGCGAGAAAGAGCGAGGGAGCTTATGCCGTCATTTTTCTTGTTTATTCACGGATTTTTATATCATGTTATAAGGTGGGTAATTTACACAAATCACTAATATTTATATCACCATTGACTAATTTAAATAATTATCTATATTTAAGAAATACTGCTGATCCACGTAAATGAAAATCTATCTGCTCTCCTCGGCCCATTAAGTCATCCCTGTGTTTTTAAGGCTTTCGTTTTTTTTAATATTACGAAAAACTCTAAATTTATGTATTTGTAATAAATTTATTTAAAATTAATTTTTTGATCACGAAAAATTTTAAATTGATACATCTGTAATAAATTTATCCCAAACTAATTTTTTGACCCCAAAAACTCCAAACTGGTATATTTGTGACAAATTTACTCTCCGTTAAATTAAATTAATATCACGAAAAATCACAAATCGATACATCTATAACAAATGGATGATAAAACCCTAAACTGGTATATCCGTCAACTGTCACGTGTCATCCAACTCAGAAATTTGAAGGTAAAATTTAACAGAAACTGACAGAGGGTAAAATTATCATAAATGTGTCAGTTTAGAAATTTTTATGATCAAAAAATTAATTTGAAGTAAATTTATTATAGGAATATCTGTTTAGGATTTTTCTTGGTATTAAACCCCGTTTTTTTTGGCTCCTATTTTCAAACATTTTCCAGTTTCTCTGCAGACGAGCGCGGGAAGAGAGAGAGAGGGAGAGCGCGAGCGAGCTTGATGGCGACGCGAGGCCAGACGGAGGCGGTGCCGGCGACCGGCGATCTCGACGTGGACGCGATTCGAAGGTACTACTGCAGTGCAGGTGTCTTTCCTTTGCGCGTGTACGATGTATGTGCGCGCGCGCGCTCGTTCCCCATGCTCGATTGTGGAAGTTATGACCTGAAATGTCCACTGCGTTTCTCTCGGTCTGAAGCCGAGTGCGGGAGCTCAAGCGGACATGCGGAGATTGCACGGAGCACGCGCCGCCGGATTTGTCCCCGGCCGACCTGGAAGATCTGCTGAACCGGTGCGTTCTGGAGATCGAGGTAATCCTCGCGTTTCGCTTGCGATTCCACCATTCATGGCCAATTTTGTCATTTTGGAAATTAAGTTCCCGGGTTAGTGTTCTTTTTCTTTTCTTTTTTTGTTGCTAAATTTTGGGTTTTGCCCATTTTTTGTTTGGCGGAAAATTGTGCAGAGCGGAGTGAAGCAGATTGTGTCAGAGTATTCCGATGTGAATGGCTTGTGGCATGAAGATTTGGGTAAGTCGGATGACTGCTTAGAGGCTCTTGGTTATCGAATTTCTTTCGTACCTTTTGTAGACTCGTTGAAAGGAATTTCACAGAATTTCGGGCTTTTAGGCGTTATTTGATTTTTTCTCTACGATAGAGGTTGAGTTCATGGTGTGGCATCTGTTGGTTGAGGGTTTAACATCCACATGAGAGTTGAAGAGCAGTAGTAGGAAATTGACAAGTAGGGGCTGCAGAATAGAACCTATCAAAGGAAGTACTGTTTTTCGTGTTATGGCTCCGTTGTTTCCATTCCCAGGTTATATATTTTGAGATGAGATAGTTTTCGACAAATCTTTCACTATATGGACTAGTTCAATTTTGTAGCATTTGCGGTGACATACAACTTGAAAACAGGGGGCTGTAGTTCAAGTGTAGTGCCAATCACTTTTCTGCTTTCATCTCGTGTCTGATTAGGATGGTGGTTAAAGCATCGAGCTTGATTCGTATCTTATACTTGAGTCATGGCTGATATGAATCTATTCATTCATATATTATTATAGTCCTTACCTATCAAATAATGTATTTATATTGTATTTCTTGGTGTATCTTATCTTCTGATAGATTCACAAATATAATGCCACCTGATTGTATCCTTCTTCTCAACCCTAGCCACCCCAGTTGAAATTTTATGATATATAGTCCAAACTACATGAAATGGCTCATAAAATTTTTGTCTTTACTTTAATTATGATACTTGTGCAGAAAATAATGTGTTGCGATAACTTTTGAGTAGAAATTGGGAGTTTTTGGATTTTTTTTCCATTGATTATTGATAATAATTAATTTAAAGCATCTTTTTTTGGGAAAGTGTTTACTAAACTTATATTCGTTTATGCTAGGAAAACTAATTTTGGGTGCTTCATCATAGATATGGATTTGATATGCATATTCATGATTCATGAACTTGCGGTTTTGATTCATGATTTGTCTCTTGATTTTACAACAAACAAAGTTGATTGTGTAGATGCATTCTTAGGACAGTTGAAGGAGGAGCTGGATGCAGTGGAAGCTGAAAACAATGAAATCTCTAATGAAGTTGAGGTTATCACTAGATCTATAATGGCTGGTAAGAATCATATTAATTTAGTCTACTTGTTTGTAGATGAACTTAACTTATGAGATCATATCGACTGCAGATTCCAGTGCTTTAGAGAGTGATCTTGAAGGACTGGAATATTCTCTGGATCTTATTAGTTCACAGGTTAGTGAAAAAACAAAAATGTTTTTTTCATTTGCTTGTGACATTCGTTGGGCTGGTCAACTCCATGGTTTGTTGACTGTTTCTGCTTCCCTTTTTTGTCGTGACATCCAATTTCTGCTAAGTTCATATATGTTGAGTTTGAACCCACGTGCCTTACTATGGTTTGACATATTGTAGGGTCTAATGAAGGAAAATG